TACTTGAATAAGCCCAATGAAGTCTATTCAATGATTAACTCGATCGGACTATTGTTATTTTGGTTAAACTCTAATTTCATAATTTTCTAGGTTTAGAGAGTTTTTTAACCATCCATCATCATTAAACGTATAATCTCGTGATCAATTCACAAGCATCTTTTTTTTTTCCAGTCGAATGAACTAATTTCATCATTAAACTAATTCTACATTTAGCATGGATGATTTACGTTCTATCGATCCGCCATAAATATTATATAAAAAAAAAAACTACGGCTCAAAGATTATTAAGCAACCTGTTTTTAAAATGACCAAGAGTTCTTCGTATTTTGGATCTGCCCAAGCCCACTTTTTTTTTTTGTATACGCCTTAGCCCATAGGCACTATTAACATGGCAAGTAGGGATAGACTCTAGATCATTTGATATGTGTTTTCGTTTTAAACTTTTAATTAATCACCATTAACTTTTTTTCTATCTTTTCTTAATATTTTGTTTTTATAATATTCTTATTTTTTTAAAAGAGGTAAATATATTAACAAAATTTTAGATTATCTAAGTTCCACCGTTAAAGAACAGTTAAATAGTTGATCGAATCGCTTAAATAGATTTAATTGGGATCTATTATATAATGGGAGAGTTTTCTCTCCTCCTATGATATCCACATCAGCATAGTTTAAATTTTATTATGGGTCCTACATTTAATAACCAAAATTTAAAAAATCACTTAATCACGTACGTAATTAGTCATTTTAAACAATATGTATCTAATAAATTATGTTTCTCTCCTATTATTAGAAGTTAGAACATTCACGTCCTTATAATAAAAGTCTTACAATTAATAATTTCAAAATATTATTTTAGATATTCATTTAGTTCATATTTATTCATATTAATTGTAATTTTTAATGCATAACTCTCAATTTATGTAATATTAAAACATGAAATTAAGTAAAATAAATAAACCTTAAAAATTAAGGTCATTAATGCTAATATATGACTAATGATATAAAATTATAATGAATTTGATAAAAATTTATAACTTGATAGGAATTAATAACTCAAATAATGTATTAATAAAATTAATAACATTAAGTCGTGACCAAAAAGAAAAAAAAATATTAAGTTAATTTTGGATTGGAAATATATGGATTTAAATTTGAATACTTTTTAAAGATACACAAACTCACTTAAAATTTTTTAAAAAGTGAGTGTTATTGAATAGAGAATAAAAGAATTTAAATAATATACAAAATACAAGAATATGATAGATTTATTGGTATTCATAAAATATTTTTTATGATTCAAGA